ATATGTGGACATTGTTTTGTAGTTTTAAGTACTTACATATAAAAAATGTATAACACGTGGGTACTTGACTTTTTTTGAAGTATATAAAATGAAATGTTTTGGGAAATTTAATTCAACCTACTAATAGTATAAATTAAAAATGTAATGTCAGCTCCCTCATAAATTGTTTTAATAGCAGTTTTACCAGAATTCATTAAAATCATGAAAACATTTGTTGTAACTATAGTGGTAGTTGTTAAAAAAAGTGAGAGCAAGTGGGTGTTGCTCTGCTGTACAGTAGGACAGTAGGACAGTTACAAGTGCGTCATTGTAATGGATGGAGTTAAATTTGAATTCAATGATATAAATAAATAATATAATATAGTAATTATGTATGGAGTAGTCAGCATATGATATTACTAAGGGCCGATTTCACCAACACAGTTAATCACGATTAAAGTTAACCGGAGTTTTAATCGGCCGAATTTGGCTGGTTAAATATCTGTTATCAGCCGATTAAGCGTTTTCCTTAATTTTTTTTTTTTTGTTTTTTCCCGGTGCTTTTGAAAATTACTGGGAATTTTACCTCTCCAGTGCACCAACTAGATTCAACTTTTCCTTCGCATAAGATATTGAAGTATAAAATCAAAGCATTGTTTCGTCTACTTATCGTGTGCAGACACAAAAAATTAAAAAACAGATCATTGTAAAATCAATACATTCATGGCTCCGCTGGTACGCTCAGAATTTAAAATGTATAGTAAGGTTTTTCACAAGTAGTTATATTGTAACCAAAAACTCAAATTTATAAAATATATGAACACTTTTTGAGCTATAAGCCATGAGGCAATATAAATATTTACTTTCTTCATTTTTCAATCACACCAAAAAAACGACGGGTTTTTTTAAAATGTCCTGTTTTATTAATATTTTTTTTCCTGATGATTTTTAAAACTATTCCAAATATTTTTACTTTTCACCCACCAAAGAACTGTTTAAATTTATTTAGATAAAAATTTAAAATAACACTAACACACATCATTGTAAAATCAATACGTTTGAAATAATTCTAAAAAAATTTTAAACAAAACTATTATTATAATGTATATTATAAAACTTTTAATTTTTATTATTTAAATATCTTCTAAAGATTAAAAAAATGTACACAGTAAAAACCTAATTAATATGATTAGTGTATTATTATGTTACGAAATCAAATTGAACAACAGTCTACAGTTATAACTTATAACTAATATATACATTATATTATTTTCTAATTTTAATCGAGTAGCTTATACTCGCTATCTGCTCTAAGAGTTTACATACAATTATGTAGGTAAGTGTTAGTACAAGCGGCGCACTCATAAGAGTAGGAAGATTTCCCGGTGAGACCAATTTCGAGGACGATCGCTGAAAGTATAAGGCCAGATGACAGTGGGCGCCGCAGCTATTATACAGCTGTATACAAGGTTTTATTCACAACGGACGATCGTCGTTGAGAGTGAGAACTATAATATATGGTTTTGTTTCTTGTTCGTCCCGAACGCCCGAGCAGACGAATTCAAACGTTCATATCGAGTTTAAAAACATTTGATATGAACTCTTCGTGTATGTTTTGCACGATCACCGCTTGATGAGAACTTTTTTTCACAATGGCCGCACTCGTATGGTCTTTCACCTGTGTGTATTCTATAGTGTACTGTCAAAGTTATTCGTTTTGTAAATGATCGGCCACAAACATCGCACCCATATGGTTTCTCCCCGGTGTGCGTTCTTGAATGTGTAACCAAATGTTCTTTCCTCATAAATGAATTCCCACAAACGTCGCACGCATATGGTTTCTCCCCGGTGTGAGTTCTTGTATGTGAAACCAATGTTGTCTTATGCGAAAATGAATTTCCACAAATGTTGCAAGCATATGGCCTCTCCCCGGAGTGCGTTCTTGAATGTGTAACCAAATGTTCTTTCCTCATAAATGAATTCCCACAAACGTCGCACGCATATGGTTTCTCCCCGGTGTGAGTTCTTGTATGTGAAACCAATGTTGTCTTATGCGAAAATGAATTTCCACAAATGTTGCAAGCATATGGCCTCTCCCCGGAGTGCGTTCTTGTATGTGTAACTAAATTTCCTTTCACCGAAAATGATAGGCCACAAACATTGCACGCATATGGTTTCTCCCCGGTGTGCGTTCTAGTATGTCTAACCAAACTTGCTTTCTCCGAAAATGATCGGCCACAAACATTGCAAGCATATGGTTTCTCCCCGGTGTGCGTTCTTTTATGTATATGTAATTTAGATTTAAAACTAAACGTTTTAAAACAAACGTCGCACTGGAGAGGAGTGTTTCCGGTGAGAAAATTTTCGTGACTATGTACACCGTTGACGTTGTTACATGTTTGATTACAATATTGGCCAAAATACATACCTGTGTCGGTCATAGTGCGATATTCCGACGTTTGATCGTCCCGAGAATCCAAAATTTCTAATTTCTTTCCACAGTCTTCGCCCATATAATTATTACTATCATATGTTTCCATATCCATGTCCACTGATTGCAGGGAATCGTTTTTCGAATATTCCCTATCAGTTGTCTGTCGTTTACGTTTTTTTAATTTTTGCGGGGACACAAGTTCTTTACTAGTAACGGCCTATAAAACAATAATTCAAAATAATAATTAGATATTCTCAAATTACATATTACATTTTATGTATTTAAAAAAACTTCCTAAAATGTTGTGAATTTCTAACTGCAAAGTAATTTATATACCTATTTCGATTGTTCTAAAAGGGGGATAACAGGTATAAAAAAAAGTACCATTACAAAACTACGTAGGCCCATTAATAAGAATATAATATTTTATTGTAAACTCATTTTCTTTGTTTTTTTGTTGTAGGTAATCTAACATTGATTTTGTTTTTATATTATTTGAAATACTTAATATTTAAAATGGACAGTTTAGTAAACCATTGCTGTACATACTTGTCCTCAGACCTCAACCAATCTTTAATGTGTTGCATACTAAAAAAAATATGATTACATGTTAGAGAAAACAGAACTCATTGGAATTACAACAGAAATTTGAAATAAATAAATCATGTTAGGAAACACTCTTTTTGAACTGATTTTTTTAAAATTAAAAACGAAGGAAATTGTTTTTTTATCACATTATTTTTAGTGTGTTTTAAAACAGTGGCTGAATTAAAGATTGTGGGTGCTAAAGCACCTCTAAGCAACCTCCTAGTTGTGCCTATGCAAAACCATATCAAATTTGCTCAGAATTGATGAAGATGTATAGTTAAATGTAGTGATTTTATAATAAAGTCATCTTAACGTAAGTACCTATACATTTATACATTTTATTAAAATCCAAAAGTAATAGGTTGTAGTAATGACGAACAACCGTTCTATGGATTTCTAAGAAGAATAGATGGTTGCCACAATACTATTGATTTCTATTCAAAATGTTGTAGCCTCATAATTTAAAAAAATTTCCCTTTCCACTGTATCACTCTTTAAGGGATACTTCACTACTTCTATAGACTATAATGATTAATGAATATCATATTTAATTAAATATCTTAGATAAAAAAAAATAATAATAATAAACTATTTAAAAACTAATACCAACCTTAATAATTTTTTTCTTATCTTTCTTTTTGTTTTTGAATAATTTTTGAAATCTACACAAGTATAGAATAATTATATCTTTCACTGCAATACAATTTTGTTATAAAAAGAATTACAAATTTATCATATACAAAAAGAATATTTTATTTATATTTAAACTAATTATTATAAACAAAAATGATCAGCTAATTTTACTTAATCTCATATACTCACAAATCAAGGTACTCCTCTTCATATACTTTTGAAATTCTCGAATTATAAGGAGTCTTAATCATAGCAGGATCTATTTAATAAAAATAAAGGTATAATATAATACAACATTTATAACTCAACACAATACAATTTTTTATAATATAAATTAAATTAAATATTTTAGAATAAATATCTATACTTTATTGTTTACCATTAGTCTTTCTATTTCCCCCTCATATGTGATTTATAGAATTAATTAGATAGTATAAATAGACAATTAATTTATAATATGTTGGATATATTATAAATTGGCCAACCAAGACAGTTAAAAATATTTTCAACAGTTGTCCTACATTTTACAAATTAGTTTTTAAGAAATACAATAAGTTCATGTATTTTTTTTGAATACGCGATGATAGTTATAACACAAATGTACTATCTAGGGGAACGGAGTGGTGAGCGGATTAAGGCGTTGATTGCAAAGCACACAAGTGCTGGTTCAAACCCGGCTGCGGGTGGAATTTTTCTACAGGCAAGTCAGTGTCCAGAAAGAAGTGCAGCAATCCCCCACCAGGACATGGCAGATACCTACGGGTGCCCACTAAAAAATCTGCCAAACCAAAAACACCCGTGAATACAAGTTTACAATTTCCTCCAATACAAACAAAAACAAACAACTAATGGCCATAGTTGACGGGCTTCATGATCAAAAAATTACTATCATTAAAATAAAACTAATATTGAAATATTATGTGTCAGAAAACAAATACAATTTATTAATATATATCCTAAAAATTAAAACATACATAAGAATTTAATAAATACACTTTTTTTCCCTTTTCCATTTGTTAATACAAAATACTCAACATGATTTTGATAGGCAGAATATATATGCGATAAAATAACAATAAAAGCATTTATATAAATTATAAATTAAATAGATATAGATACATTTATGCATTTATACTATATTGTTTCAATTTTTAGTCAAACCCTAACCCCATATAATTTTGATAAGTGAGGTCCTATTGAATATGCTAATTACTTAATACTTTTTATATGATTTAAACAAAAGGTTTCACTCAAATCTAATTTTTGTAAACAGCATACTATAATACAATTTGAGAATTGATATACTACTAGATATTTAAAATATTAAATTATTCCAAAATCAGTTTATATCTTATGGGACTTTGTGTTAATAGGCAGTCATAGCAGTTTCTAAAACATTTATTTCGGAAGATATTTGTAAGATGCAAATTTTACCATTGTGAATCTCATTTGACTGCTCTTCAGATATACATTTTTTCAGGTCTTCCACATTTTTAAAATTCTTTTGTATAGATTCGTATTTTGACGACTCAGTATCTTCTTTTTTTGCCTTTTAAAATTAAATGTTTAAGAATGTAAATATAAATCTCAACATGTTTATTTCTTTTATATAGACAGGTCCACGGCAGAGGACTTGTAGCTCTAAAAAATCATCGAATATGCACTTCAATGTATAAAATATACATTTTAAAATGAATATTTTAGAATACAAAATAAGCATTTTTTCTGTAAATACCTATTATTTTAACGAATATATTTTATTTAAATTTTAAGTAGTAAGTTACAATAAGTATTGAATTATTTTAATTAATTCAGATACATCATCAAATTAATCCATCAATGTGTTCAACTTCTAAAAAATAAAATAATTGAGGAAATATTTCAGTTTCAAATAATCAAATATTTACACTCGAGATGTGTTTCTAGGAAAAACAAGTGTCTGGGAACAGCTAACGACATATTAATATTGAGATCAACATTATTTTGGTTGTGAAAATAAATAAACAAAAACTTCGACCAAAAATTGTTAATAAAATGATTAAAGCATGAACGTATTTGTATCATACACAGCTACCTTTAGCAAAAAAAATATGCAAGTGCTACAAATCCTCTGCCCTATAGATGACCAATAGCTTTCAAAATCTGCCTTTATCAGCATTTCACATATATTTCTTATATTCAAGTAAACTACAAAAAAGTATAAATAATTAAAAAACAAAACAATAAATACCTTAGATTTTTTCTTCTTTAACTTGGACTTTTTTAATGGACTTTTTAACCTAAACCAAAAAGACAATTACTCACTAAACAATGAACTAAAATAATAAACTTGCAATTATTAACTAATATCTAATAAAAAGCAAACATAGATTCTTTTCTTTGCTCAAAATCTAAAAACTTTATGCGGTTCTACTTCCCATTTTCCCGATGGATTAATTATTTTTTACAATTGGAGCGAATGTCTAAATACGGATTTCGGAACTGAAAATTATGTATTACAAAATTCATTGTTTATGATAAATTAAAACCTAAGTTTAGATCAATGAGAGCTCATTTTATAAATTGAAAAAAAAATGTTTAATATCTACAATAAACAAAATTAATTAACTTATTTATCAATATTATTGTATGATTTATATATAATATAAATCATAAACTAAATAATGATACTAAATACTAAAAAGTAATTAAATTGTTTAGATGCTTACAATGTCAATTCTTCATCATCCTCTGAAGCATTTGCAATTTGAATACTTGTTGTCGAATTGTCTAAATATGTTAATAAACATATTAAATATTAATATAATAATACATCATGGTTACAAAAATTACGCACCTCTATTTAAATTGGAACCACTTATATTGATTTTATTTAAATACTTGATTTTGTCATTACAGGTATCATTATAAAATTGTTGTACTTTCAATGTAGCTTTATCGTTTTTCAAATATTTATCTATTTGTACCTAAAGAAAACATAACAGTCTTTTAGGTAATAGCCAGTAGGTATCTATTTTATTTTATTTTAATATCAAAACATACCATTTTTTTATCTCTCTTCTTTTTCTTCTTTTTTTTAAATCTACAATGTGCATAATAAAAAAATACAATACCACATATGAACAATATTTTAATAAACAGGAACCAAATACATACATTATATGTTTATACATTTGTTAACAATTAATTTAAACGTGCTCAAGAGCAGCTACAAGATTAAAATCAAAGAAGACACACCAATAAAAAATGTTTAATGTAAATAAGGCTCAAAATTAATGATGTAACTTAACTTCAAATGCACAAGAAATAAAAATATGATTGTATAAATCAATTTAATCTTTCATTGATAGCTACTTACAACAAGTCCCCTTCTGAATCATTGGTAATAGAAATGCTTCTTGTGAATTCATCTAAAAATATAAATAATCATATTAAATAATTAAATATTCAAATATTCGACTAAAAGTATGGACCATGAACATCATTGCAATAAAAAAAAAAAACAAGACCTTTGCTGAAATTAGAGTCCATTGTTTCGTCCAAATACAAATCTTTGTTATTTTCATCACAGTTCTCAGTATAAAACTCATCTTCCTTCAATGTACCTACATCGTTTTTGAAATTATTATCATTTTGCACCTAAAGACAATATAACAGTCTTATAGGTATCTAATATTATTTTATTTTATTTTAATGTCAAAACAAACCATTATTTTATCTCCCTTTTTTTTCTTCTTCTTTTTTTTAAATCTACAATGAGCATAACAATAAAATACAATACCAAGTATAAAAAAAATTTTAATATATTATGTACAATAAAATATAATAACATGATGGTATAAAGTCATTTAAACTTTTAATGTTACTTACAAAGAGTCGACTTCTGAAATTTTAGAAATATTAATATTTCTTGAGAATCCATCTAAAAATAGAAACCACCACTTTAAATAATAATTTAATACCATCATAGCAAAAAAACGGACCTTTGCTTAAATTAGAATCCAATGTTTTGTCTTTAATCAAATGTTTGTTATTTTCATCACGGGTCTCAGTATAAAACTCATCTACCTCCAATGTACCTATATGGTTATTCATATTTTCATCATTTTGTGGCTAAAGAAAACAGAACAGTCTTATATGTAATAGGTATCCAATTTTTTTTTATTTTAATATCAAAACAAACCATTTTTTTATCTCTCTTCTTTTTCTTCTTTTTTTTTTTAAATCTGCAATGAGCATAACAATAAAACACAATACCAAGTATAAAAAATATTTTAATATAATATGTACAATAAAATATAATAACATGATGGTATAAAGTAATTTAAACTTTTAATGTTACTTACAAAGAGTCGCCTTCTGAAATTTTAGAAATATTAATATTTCTTGAGAATTCATCTAAAAATAGAAACCACTACATTAAATAATAATAATAATGAAATAACATCATAGCAAAAAAAAAACGGACCTTTGTTTAAATTAGAATACAATGTTTTGTCTTTAATCAAATGTTTGTTATTTTCATCACAGGTCTCAGTAAAAAACTCATCTACCTCCAATGTACCTATATGGTTATTCATATTTTCATCATTTTGTAGCTAAAGAAAACAGAACAGTCTTTTATGTAATAGGTATCCAATTTTTTTTTATTTTAATATCAAAACAAACCATTTTTTTATCTCTCTTCTTTTTCTTCTTCTTTTTTTTAAATCTACAATGCGCGTAACAATAAAATACAAATACCAAGTATAAAATATATTTTAATATAATATGTACAATAAAATATAATAACATGATTGTATAAAGTAATTTAAACTTTTATTGATACTTACAAAGAGTCGCCTTCTGAAATTTTAGAAATATTAATATTTCTTGAGAATTCATCTAAAAATAGAAACCACCACATAAAATAATAATAATAATGAAATAACATCATAGCAAAAAAAAAACGGACCTTTGCTTAAATTAGAATACAATGTTTTGTCTTTAATCAAATGTTTGTTATTTTCATCACGGGTCTCAGTATAAAACTCATCTACCTCCAATGTACCTATATGGTTATTCATATTTTCATCATTTTGTAGCTAAAGAAAACAGAACAGTCTTTTATGTAATAGGTATCCAATTTTTTTTTATTTTAATATCAAAACAAACCATTTTTTTATCTCTCTTCTTTTTCTTCTTCTTTTTTTTAAATCTACAATGCGCGTAACAATAAAATACAATACCAAGTATAAAAAATATTTTAATATAATATGTACAATAAAATATAATAACATGATTGTATAAAGTAATTTAAACTTTTATTGATACTTACAAAGAGTCGCCTTCTGAAATTTTAGAAATATTAATATTCCTTGTGAATTCATCTGAAAATAGAAACCACCACATAAAATAATAATAATAATGAAATAACATCATAGCAAAAAAAAAACGGACCTTTGCTTAAATTAGAATACAATGTTTTGTCTTTAATCAAATGTTTGTTATTTTCATCATGGGTCTCAGTATAAAACTCATCTACCTCCAATGTACCTATATGGTTATTCATATTTTCATCATTTTGTAGCTAAAGAAAACAGAACAGTCTTTTATGTAATAGGTATCCAATTTTTTTTTATTTTAATATCAAAACAAACCATTTTTTTATCTCTCTTCTTTTTCTTCTTCTTTTTTTTAAATCTGCAATGCGCATAACAATAAAACACAATACCAAGTATAAAAAATATTTTAATATATGTACAATAAATAAAAATATGATTGTATAAAGTTATTTAAACTTTTAATGATACTTACAATGAGTAGGTCTCCGTATAAAACTGCTCTACTTTCAATGTAGCTATATCGTTTTTGAAATTATTTTCATTTTGTACCTAAAGACAACATAACAGTCTTATAGGTATGTAATATTATTTTATTTTAATTTAATGTCAAAACAAACCATTATTTTATCTCGCTTCTTTTTCTTCTTCTCTTTTTTAAATCTACAAAGTGCACAACAATAAAATACAATACTAAGTATAAAAAAATATTTTAACATACATTTACATATTAATCCATACATTATTTGTTTGCAAATTTTAGTAGAATTTTATTTTAACGTGCAAAGAGCTGTCACAAGATTAAAATCAGAGAATACACAACAATAAAAATGTCTTAAAGTAATAAATGCTCAAAAAGAGATATATGTGAGAGCTATAAATTTGTTTCAAATAACCAAGAAGCTAAATACAAAATTGTATGCATAATATTTTAGTATTTTTAATATTGTTCATTTTTTTTTTTTTGCATATTTTAGTATTTTTAGTGCATATTTAAGCGCTTATATGAATATTTTTTAGAGCATATTATTGCGCTTATAACAACCTTTTTTGGAGCTATAACTTATGAGCCATGGTTATTACAATATTCTCAATGATTTTAGTATGACATTCTTTTTAGACTAAAAATAAAACCCCTGAACTTTAATAAAATAGAATAATTATTCCTAATGTTTATCATTATTATATTTTATTTATTGTATAATAAATATATGTTAATATCATTTAATTTGTTATAATTAGTTATAATAGGTTTATTTTAATATATACATAAACTCATCTATTTACATGATAGGTATATTCTAGTGAAATTTATGAACCACTACTTAATGCAACTTATTTATAATTATGAACTACCTGATCATCGGAGACAATCCGTAGATTTAAGTATATACCGAAAAATAATATTATTTTTTTTTTATTTTAAAAAGTATATTTACAATCTATACAACAGACAAGGTATAATAAGTAAGTGGTGTGACATAAAATAACATTAATAAGAATAGGAAGGCTCCCAGCAGTGCCAACTGACCAGAAATTAGGTTTTTTTTATTTTTTTAGAGCAGGTCTCTTGGCCATTTTCTTTTTAACCTAATAATATTATGAATTAATTTAAAGATGCACATAAGCAACACTTATTCCACAGGGTTGGAAAATGTTAAATATTTATTCATAACAGAATTCGTAGAAAAAAATGAATTTTAGAATTCGAGAATATTTAGTCTACATAATATCATTAAGAGTATTATATTATTGATCTTATAAAATTCGTACTTGTTAATTAATCGAGTTGTAAGTAATTAATAGTGGGCAAAAATATTTTAAATCTAAAAATGACAGAAATATTAATTGTAATTGTTTTGGCTGAATAAATAAATAAATATGTGACTGAATTAAAATAATTTATCAGAGAAATTGAATGAAATAATTGTATTTAAGTTAATAGTAAATATAAACATGTTATAATACCTATGTAGTTATTTGATGTAAAAAATTCTTACTTTCAGTATATTTGACAAGTTTATAAGGATTACGAAGAGAAAATGTAAAGGTTTTTTTAAAAGTGTAATAGAATAATAATTTAAACTAGATATAATTTAACCTAAATATCTGATTTATCTTATAACAATAATAATAGTAAACAAGTTTTAATGTTACATAAACTTCTATGATGATCTTCAGCACTTCATTGAAATTTTATTTTATTAATAATAACAATTAACAATAATTAAAACAGATATTCAATATAAAAGACATACCTACCTACTAAATCTATACACAACAACTCTATTAGTGTACAACTGGGTTGGTATTTTTATGCTTAAAATAAATACTAAATTATTTCATAATAACAGTCAAAGATACTTACAATATCAGTTCTGTTTCATCTTCAGCTGAAGCATTAGAAATAGGAACACAATTTATCAACTCATCTAAGCAATAAGAAAAACTTATTAGATATTTTATTACTCAAATAATAACATTATAGCAACAAAAACAATAGAGTTTTGTTTGAATTGTTAGTCCTATTTGGTCTTTCTTGAAATACTTGTTATTGTCATTGCATATTATGCCTATTTGTAACCTAAGTTTTCCTAATTGTAGATCTGATTCAGAACCATTATCTATTAATATATAAGAATCGTCATTATGGTGAAAAAGAACAAATTTAAAAGATATTCGAATAATATGCAATATCACACCAGGCACCAGTGGCGGCTATCCTATACTAAAGGTGTATCCGTTGATACACCTTATAATTGGGTGGGTGGGTGGTAAATTATTGGTTAGGCACTAAATTGTATACCATTGTATACCAGAGTTGGTGGGTGGGTAACTAAATTCAAAATTTGATACACCTTTATTTGTTTGATAGCCGCCACTGCCAGGCACCAACAATTACAACTGCTTATAGAAACATCAATGGTTAAAGAAATTAAAATTTACTTTTGGATTTTTTTTGTTTCTTGCGTTTCTGAATTTCACGTTTTATAATACTTGCTATTGTAACAAAATCATCTTTTCTGGTAGCCATTCTTCTTCATTCTGAAAATTATAATCATAAATAAAATTACTTATAGGTATTTACTGTTTCTACTAAATAATTAAGAACCTTCTAAATTATGACTTAATACTTATTAAGTACCTACATACAAAATATATTATGTATATATTATATTATAATACATATTGTTTACCCAAGTCTCAATAATTTGTATTGATTTGATTTCTGACACTATCACTATCGAGAATAGAACAGAAAGTCAGAAACTATGAATTATAAAAATAAAATAATATGTATACATAAACTTGGTACTTCTACACGATATAAGTAAATAACAATTAAATTAATTTTGTAACAGTACACATAAGTACATAACTCGGTTTTTTTTAGTTTATTACGCTAATATCACAGTTAGAACATTATAATTAATTGGGAAACAATTGGAGCCAAATTTTAAAATAATATTGTATTGTCAGTAGTTATCACCACGATTTAAGATAGTATTATCTTAAATCGTGGTTATCACAGATTTCTGATTAACTTCATGTTATCTATTTGAAAAACCGGGATTGCACATAGACCATAACCAGACAGTAAATAAAAACGGTTTATATCACTAGAAAAAAAACGGTTTATATCACTAGAAAAAACGGTTTATATCACTTTCATGGATGAAAATATCATATCAGTTTGGCTTGGAATAAACAACAATTAACATTATCGCAGGCCGCTGAATTTAAAAATATTTAATATTTATAATATATACAAATACAATTTCACAACTGACCATTGCCGTACCTGGGGGGGTTACCCCCCGAAGGCCGAAATGTTTTCAACATATCTTATTTTCAACCAAATATCAAAACATATAAATTCAATAAAATTACAATATACATGTTATGGACCCACCTCCGAAAAAAATTTCTGGATGTGGCCTTGCAACTGAATATAATATAATGACATAAATTTCCAATCATATTGTGAACTACTTTACTTAGTATATTTATTAGGCAGTGGTAATGTGGTATTTAGATTATGTCGATTATGTTTTATGAGTCTTAACATAGTAACTGGTAAGACAAAAAGTAATAACATATTAAACTATATACTTATGTATTATTTATGTGTTTAGGTAGTTTCAGGTAAGCATTATATAAGATTGTTAATTTATTATTCATTATTATTCTCTTAGACTCTACGCCATACATGTCGGCTTATTGAACTTAAATAAACAATCTTACATATACAATTCATTATTTGAATAATTAAATATGGAAATAAATCATTATACGTTATTGTTTATGTTCAATGTCATTAAAATTGAAATATTTATCTCGTATAAATATAACTGAAGTTATATTGCTAAATTCAAAACAAATTACTACCAATCACACCAATCACACCAATATAATAAATGCATATTTAATATACGCATACAATTAATAGTGCTTTATGATAGACAACTCCGACTATATTATGTACTAATGAACTGTATAACACTATCGGTTAATTTTCTTCACAGCCCCCGTTTACTTAAGTGTAATTTATATTTTTACACTAACCATGATCAACATCTCAAAAAAGTAATAATATTCTAGTACCAATAATATAAATAATAATGTATATAACATTTTATGTATAATATATTCATAACCTTTTTGAATGTCTGAACACTTAATATTTTATAACATTTTTGTGTAACACAGCCGTAAAATAAAACAGTATTTATATAAGTTTTTACATTTTATAGTATATTAAACAATGCATAAATAGCTCAAAATAGTTTACATACATATTTGTCATTAAAAATTATAAAAGTAATGAATACAGTTTAAAAAAAAATCAGAATCTGTGGAACACCACTGATCCTTATTATGGTTTAAGTGTTAAACTGTGTCATTATTATTATTATTATTATTATTATTATCAAATTATTATTTGTTTTAGAAAAATGTAAATACCAAGTTCTTTGAACAATTTTGAATTGGAATATTCAAATTGTACCAATTAGTAATTTAGTTATTTGCTGTATTAATCATAAGTTAAATATAAAATCTTATTTACTTATATTTAATACAGTTATTAGATAGATAATACATTTATTAGGGTTTCACTAATGTTTATCATAAAGCTACTTTGAATGACCAAAAATTAATGAATACAATTATTTCCATAACTCATGTAGTCATGTCTAACTAAATTTCTGAACTCTGAACTAGGTATATGTTGCCACTTTCCTATTCACATCTACACATCCTGGTCTTCGAAGATCTGCACTACTAAAATTGGCTACCTTACTTCTTCACAGTCGGACAATGGTAGTATGGTATAGTCTACAAAATTAAAAAAATACATTTATTAGGGTTTCACTAATGTTTATCATAAAGCTACTTTGAATGACCAAAATTAATGAATACAATTTTCATAAGTCATGTATAACTAAATTTCTGAAGTCTGAACTAGGTATATGTTGCCACTTTCCAATTCACATCTACACATCCTGGTCTTCGAAGATCTGCTCTACTAAAATTGGCTACCTTACTTCTTCACAGTCGGTCAATGGTAGTATGGTATAGTCTACAAAATTAAAAAAATACATTTATTAGGGTTTTACTAATGTTTATCATAAAGTTACTTTGATTGTCCAAAGATTAATGAATCCAGTTTCCATAAATCATCTCTAACTAAATTTCTAAAGTCTGAACTATGTATATTTTGTCATTTTCCAATACACGTCTATACATCCTGGTCTTCGAAGATCTGCACTATTAAAATTGGCTACCTACTTCTTCATAGTTGGACAATGGCAGTATGGTATACCCTTCAAAATAAAAAAAAACACAATATAGAAAATAATATTAAGATTTAAAAACAATTTAAAAGAATAATACATTACTTTAAAACCAAGAGAGGCATGATTAATTTTTAATACTTCAATTAAAAAATAAAAATGTCTTTAAAGCGCCCTTCCTCCTTTTTCATACGGACTGAGGACCGTCAATGGTGGAGTTAACACTAAGATTTGCAATTGTGGGAATGTTAATGAATATAATTAACTCAAGATAACCTAAGTTAAGTGAACACAAGATTGTTCTAACTCAAAAGTTGATAGTTAATAAATAATAAATTTAACTGGTTACATTCTGAATTTAAGTTAATTTTAAAACAATTAACTTTTTTTTTTAATTTAAACATTTTTACTACCTACCTAGTTAATTCCTACTTTTAAAGATATGACTTAGTTACATAGGTACTCAATCTTATGTTAGGTAATTGATTCCATTTTACTCTACGTGTAATTTATAAATTACACCCAACTTATGTAACCAACCATTCATTACTTACAATAGGTATTGTATTAGTTTGTTTATCTTTATTTTATATTAGTTTTTATTTTGTACTTTATTATTTTGTAATTATAAAATAGGTACCTACTTAATTAATATACTTATTGCATAAGATACAAGTGAAGTTTTCATTTTTCAATTCCTTAGTCATAAATTTGTAGCATACACCACCTACACACACATTATGAACTCTTCGCTCACATGTATTGCACTTAATCCAAGTAAAACTTACTTTTATATTTTGTGCACACATAAGGCATCTTTCACTGATATTATCAGAGTACATTAAACATCGATTCTGCAATGTATTTCTTAAATCACTCACATTAACTTCCTTTGAAAAGCTCTGAGTAAACATTGGATTGTATGTACTACAATAATACAACACAAACACTCCACAACTGTTACTATCATTCTGTAAAGGATACTCAATATTTTTAAGAACCATTTTATGCAGCAAATATTTTGCTTTTTCATTACCACACATTGAAAACAACATTTCTTTTAATCGAGGTAAGTACAAGTCACCGGATTCTGGACGCAGAGGATCCAAGTAAAATACACAACCCAAAATGAAGTCCATAATAAATAAAGTCCAATGATTACCTTCAGGATTGATAGGAAGAAATAACACACAGTATTTAGTCCAATCAAATTTGGCTACTTTAACTTTGGTACTTGACCAAATTGTATTGCTTATTTCCGCAGGAATATAACCAATTTCATTATTCACATATTAAGTCAATAGCAGTGCGTCAATCACAGTTCCATTTAACCAGGTGTTGTTTTGCAATTTACGAAAATCTTCACCATACAGAGTCACACACTTATGTATGAATTAATTTTTCATTTTAAGAAGTAAGTTAAGTTAATTTATTTTGTTTTTAATTTTATTACATTTCACAATTTCAGTCTTATTTTGTTTTCATGTCAAAATATTTTTACCGTTAAATTTTTTGATAAACCCTGCTACGGTTCTGTTCATAAATATGCCCATTCAACTCAAAGTCCAGGCATAATTTTTATTAAAATATTATTAAAATTCAATTTAGTTCTTTGATTATACTTAAAACACAAAGTTAATGAACATACAATTGATATAAAGTAATTGTTTTCCATTACTTATTGAGATTTTACAGTCAAATAACTATAGAATACTAATTTATAACTAAAACATATTGCATGTTCTACCAGCTGTGTTCATAGACAGAATTAACATTAGTTAATTCATAGCATTTGTAACAATATTATATTATGATAATGTATGATTTTGTTATTATTAAAAGGATATGATATGATGGATAATGTGACATTGTGACTTGATGTATTTGACCACAGAAAAAAGGAACAACAATTCACAAGTTCTGCACATATCCCATTAACCAATATTTGACTCTGATCCATCCATACAGCTTGTAATTTTACTATCCAATCTCAAATTACATAAGCTGAAAATAATTTTAAAATTAATACTTTACAAAAATAAATGTAATTTTATAATATAATACTGATGAATAATACCTTTTAAAATGCATATTATTTTATGACACTAAAAGTCACAAATTATGCATTATTATACTTGTTAGGGAATACTAACATGATATTAATAACTAGTTTGTTTGATGAGACAACACGTGAACTATAACGTCATTTTAGGATAACAACTTATGAAAGTTGTTGTTG